AACTCACAACCCTGGATTTAGCAGGCTAATATACCACCTACATCTGACCTGTTTGCCCGCACCATTTGCCTGTGATGACTGCCAGATCCATAAAATCTTAGACTCTTCATTCTCTAGAGCACTTGCAATTCGCTGGTCATAATATCGCAGGGTGAGTTTAAATCCGTACTTGCCACATAGTCTCCATTGCAGACTCTTGGCAACCTCATTGTGTCTGTTCATATATTCTCTCCCAACCAGGCTCCTGCAGGTGATCAGCACATGCTGCATCATCTCTTCCTTGTTGGAACAATTCTGCAGTTCAGGGAGTAGTTCTGTTGGTCAATTTTATTTCAAAATTTAAGCTTTGACAAATTTTCTGCGCTCATAATGAGGCTCTCTGTCTTTCCTTTGAGGTCTCCTTCTAGAAGCCATGAGTTTGTTAATCTTTCATCAGTGATTGGTTATTAATTATTTAATAATAATAATTTTTATTATTTATATTACGTTAGCACCTAGGAGCCCCAGTCATGGACCAGAACCCCATTTTGCCAGGTGCTGTACACAGAACAAAAAGACAGTCCCAGCCCCAAGGAACTTACAATCTAGGTATAAGACAAGAGACAGCAGATGGATATACACAGGTATGAGCATACAAGGAAACAATGAGATAATGTTGGTCAGCATGACAGGCAGTGGTCTCTGCACACCAGCAACCTAAATAGTTCACTTAGTCCACAACTTTCAAGGGTGGAACACAATCTTTATAAAGTAATTAAACTTTTAGTTATTATAATTATTTGCAACAACTTATTGTCATGATCCACATCACTCCAGGGGCAAATATGTCCACCTTTAGGATGACCACTATCTCTGCACAGTTATTCCTCCATCCCCATTCTCCTTCCTGTTTTTCAGCCTCTTCCCTATCCTTGTAGCTCACCTGCTTTCTTCCTGCTACCTTCACTTCCCTTAGTAATTTCCTGTTTCCACACTGTGGGCTTCATTCCCACTCTCTATCACAACTGACCTGCTAAAATAACCTGCAATGACATAGTCAATATTGACACTGAACTATCATTACTATGCTTCAGAGTAACATGTCCAATAAGATTAATGAGGTGCAGAGAGTTCACAATCTCAGACTGCCCGCAGAATCAGGAGAACACCATCACATCATTGGTTTACACTCAGGTCACATTTGGAAGGCTAGTCTTGTAATCACGAGGCCTAAAAACTTACTTTAATAAAAAAAAAAAAGCTGTGCAAACTTGATATGTCATCAAGGCCACAAAAATACATCAAATTGGCTAGATCCTACCCACAGATTAGGTGTTTGACATCAATAATGCCCGATATTGTTCTGGATGTGCAGTAATTGCCCTAACAAGTTCTTTGTACAATTACTGCATAACATGGCTGTTGTACCATGTTGCCATGCTGACAACTCACCAATCTACCTCTCTACTCCATACTTGTCTCCTTCTGTCCTAACTAAAATCTCAGCCTCTGTCTCTCTGACATCTTCTCGTGGATGTCCAGACAACAGCTTAAACAGAACTCCTAATTATCCACCCCCTCTCCCAGCTCTCCCTCTACCCTCTTTTCTTGATCACTGGGGACAACACCACCGTCCTACCTGTCATTCAGGCCTGTAACCTGGGTGCTATCTTTGACTCAGCCCTTTCTCTAGATCCTCACATCCAGACTGTGTCAAAATGTGCTTATTCTTTCTCTGCATAACATCTCTGAAAGACATGGCCTCTCCTATTTACCCACACAACTAAAACTTGTCTAGGCTTTCATCATCTCACTTCTTGATTACAACAGCCTCTTCTTTGACCTTGACAAATTTAGTCTCGCCCCGCTCATATCCATTCAGAATGATGCTGCAAAGATCATTCTCCTAGCTCATCACTTGGACCCTGTTATCCCTTTCTTTGCATCCCTCCACCGGCTCCCCCTTTTCTATTGAAACATAAGCTGCTTGTCTGCACTTTCAAGGACTTTCACACTCTACTCTCACCCCACGCACTGATCATGTCTCATATGTTATCGAGATGTCAGCTCTTGCTTCAGCTCCGCCAATGATGCCAGCTTCCATCACCCATTTGTTCAAATTTCAAACAAGCACCTTTGTGCTTTCTTCTATGCTGCCCCTCCCACTTGGAAGGAACTCCCCATAAACCTTCACGAAGCTACCTCATCATCCTCCTGCAAATCCCTCTTAAAACTCTCCTCTGCAAAGTCACCCACAAAAATCTTGACAATGGTTAGGCCTCTGGTATGCTGGGACCACTGCCCATCATGCTGAACAGTATTGTCTCATTGTTCCCTTGTTCTCCCCCACCTATTGTCTCTTATACTTAGGTTGTAGTCTCTTTGGGACTATCTTTTTGTTTTGTGTTTGTACAGCATCTAGCACAATGGGGTCATGGGCCATCATTGGGTCTGGTAGGAACTACCACAATATAACTAATAAACAATAATATGT